TCCAATCTTGAAGGTGATCTGCGCAGGAAGTTTGATGCTCTCAGTCGTGATGCTTACGGGTTTGCTCCAACAGAGGAACTCCAATTTTGAAGGTGCTGTGTGCAGGAAATTTGCTGCAGTAGGGTATCGATTCCCCTCAGTCCAGTTTCTCGCCAGTTAAACAAATAGATGGAAAAAATATATTGCTCGAGGGACTGAGGACACGTAAGCCACCAGCAGAGTTTCAGGATGTTTGCCTCAAAACTTTCTGTGCAGTTAGGGCTACGCTACAACTGGAGGATTTCAATGTTGCAAGTCTTACACGCAGGCAATTTGCTGTGCTGTGCGCAGGGGTTTTCATTATGAAAGCTGGTTTTCGTTCCTCCTTCCCAGGTTTAGATATTATTTAGATATTGCCTTTGTTTTGGAGGGTTTTTTTTAAAGACACTCCGAGGCTTGGTCTACGGCATCCGTTCCGAAGTGGATGAAGTGACAACAGCAACTTGGATAGATCACCACCTGGAAGACCTGGAGGGGGTTGGGATTAAGCTGAAGGATTAGAGGAAAACAGAGAAATACTGAAGCATGGCCAACATGGGCCAAACCATTTGTTTATAATACTATTTAATATATATATATATTATTTATATATATATATATGTATATGTGCATCTCTTTATTTATATTTTTATATATTTATATGTGCATTTCTTTATTTTTATATATATATAATTATATAAGATCACAGTAGCAGGTTGAGCGACAACTACGCTCATGACAACAGTTGATCGTGGGCACAAGGAGGTAAACTCCGAAATCAGTGTCACCAAGCAGGTTTGACTGAACAGGATTCAGCAAATGCTTCTTGATTGAACAACACGTTCGTACAAAAACATATGCAAAGGATTGCACATGTTCCATTTAAAGGGGTTCCCTCAGCCGCCAGGCAAAGCTAGACTCATGCAAGTCTCGGTGTCTCCACGACGAATCCTGTAGTGGCTACATGATCAGAAGTGGAAACAGCTCTGAGCTCATGAGTCCGGGACAGCCCTGCATTTTCTTCAGCGCCTTGGATTGTGTTTATCAGATGCACACAGGAATGCAGGGTGTGTGATGAGCATGAACCCCCTAGCTACGCTCCTTGACTTGCATGATTTTGCTGGGAGCTGCTGCGACAAGTGAATCATGCTGGTTGCTGTCAAGAAAACCAACCAGAACCAACCCAGCTTTGAAACCCAAGAGTAGAAAAAGTATGGAGCAGTTCCCGGTCCAGGGTTCCAGGATTCCATTCCGATTGTGCGTGCCTTGCATCCGTCCCAGACGCAAAGATTAAAACCCAGCAAGCACTACCGTGGGGAATATGTTCATGGAGAACAAGTTTCCAAGCGTCAAATAGGGAGACATGGACAAGATAAAGCATAAGTTCAGTGCATCCAGCTAGCGAGGTCAAAGCCAACCGTTTCATGTCTACACGATCAGCCGCGTTGGGACACCATTTTCAAATGGTTTTGTAAACCTGAGTGCTTCCATGGACAAGTACGAGGCCGGGACCCGTTGGCCTTGAGCCACCCATTGGCCAAATGGCCTTGACAGCCTTGATATGGCCCAACCTGAACATCACCTGGAATTTTTGGAGATTTTGCATGTGTTTCATGACTTTTCAGCATGCCATGCGAAGGCGGGACCCATGATTTTTCTGGATTCTTCACTTCCTGAGCTTCCTGACGAGGCACTACAAGCATTTGTGGGACCTGGTATCCCCGCCAGTCGTCTCACCGGAGACCAAGACGGCATCTATGTTAGTCATGGACCAGTTGTCTCCAAGGCAGGGCTGTGGCGCCCATGTAGAGACACAGTGAAGCTGAAGGCCTCGCCCCCCCAAGAAACCACGAGCGACAGGATATGATTAGTGGGCCTCACCTGGAGTACGGCTTGCTGGTCACGGAGTGCCAGGTGTTGTGTTTAGAGAACACGCAGTGCCTGTCCCGCAAGTGAAATGATGCCAGCAAGATCCGGTGGCACAGCTAAGATGATTTGTCAGATTTATTTGGACGGAAATTGGATGAAATTGGCTTCGGATTTGCCAAAATCTGAGGTGTACGGGGATTGCATTTCCTGGATGTTACCTGCTGAAAAAAGCGACCATCAAACTTCTCTCATCTACAGATGGCAGCAGCTACAGCTTGATGATGAAAGAGAAGGTTCGCCAGCGATCATTGGATCACCTCCCTGACAGTGGGTTGGTTGGATCCCGGTGATTTGTGGTTTGTTTTATTGGCTTTCATTGCTAATATGGAGGTTTCCTAAAATATCCTAAAATGGTGGTACCCCTGAAGCATCCATAGATGGATTTTCCATTATAAACCATCCATTTGGGGGGTACCCCCCATTTCTGGAAACCCCCATATTACATATTGCTACAAAAGCTCAATGTATTTTGATTTTGTTCTTAGCCCCTCTGACAGACCCCCATACATTTTCAAACCCTGGGAAGGTACAACCAGAAGTGAAGAGTGCCATTGGATACAGCCAAGCAGACTCTTACAACAACGTCACCTACGCCCAGCACAGTTACCTCAATCGACCTCTGAGCTGTGCCGTTGACTCTGCGGGAGATTTGATTTTTGCAGACTTCAACCACAGACTCAGGACAGTCATGGAATGGTTCTGCTGCTTTGATTGTTTTCGCAGCAAGTGCTGCTGTGGTGATGTGTTGTGGTTTTGATCTCGAGTGAGTCAAGTTTTGTTGACTCTTGACATATCCACAGTCATTGTCCGAGAGTCGAGAAACTTGAATTTCTGCAAACGCCAATCTCAAAGACCTTGGAGGAAGACGAGTGGTTGGGCAACAAATTGCTCTGTTTCGGGCAAGTTCTCATTTCAGCAAGTGCGGCAGTATGAGGCGGCGCTGAGTCAGGCTTGCTGCTATCGGGTTGCTGGCTTCGCTGATGCAGTTGTTGTTTGGTTTGCTGGTTGGTGGTTTGAAGATGTTTGAATTAGTGGAGCAACCAGGCTAATTATGGAAAATAACCCATAAAATATTTAGAGATGATTTACATTGATTTACCTATTCATCATGGCCATGGAGACCATGGCTATCGACTCAGTACTTTAGAGCGTGGTTATTTTCCAATCTGGGATGGTGACTGATAAGCACTGAGAAGTTTTTTATGCCAGGTGAATGATGCCTGCAATGCCAGCGACGCTCAGATGCAGACACTTTATGCCCAAGCTCAAAGGGAGGTCATTGAGAACAATAGCATTCAGCTGGTTCAGTCACTCAATGAGAATTTAGTCAGCTTTTGCTGTTGCCCACAAATCAACAACCCCCAAATGGGGCCCAACCCCCAAAGCTAACTAGGGCCATGGGTGGAGGAGGTCATCCCCCAATGGTGCCAGTTTATGCAGCTGAAATCTCTGGCTCCCCCTTGACGTATCGCTGCTGGTTCCAGGCAATACTTCTGTGACTTTGGTGCCAGTGCTTTCGCTGCCGAGATGGAGCTTCTTTGCGGCAAGCGTTAACTTGGCAAAGGTCATATATGATGTCATAAAATGGATTAAATACGTATGAAATATACATTATATTACTTATGTTATATTATGTTATATTACTTATTTTGATATTTACATACGTGCACGTATGTGCACTGCTTGTGTACACTATATGTAGAAGAATACCTTTGACGTATAGATGTACCAATATATTTCTATATCACAACTGTGATTTTTGAAGCTCGTTTGCTTCTACAGTAAATGCTTTGGACGATCCATTTGACTGTGATCAGAGCAACAAGCAAAAAAGGGAGGGAGAAGCGTCAGTACATTAAGTTTTATTTTTGCCATCACAACAATTGATTGACATTGTAGTGATTGAATTGGCTATTCATGCTGTTGAATCATTTGTAGTTTTGGTGTGTTGTACTATGTTTCTATGCTTCCGGTTCAGGATCATTTTGCCCAATCTTACCTCAGTCTCACCGTGCCGTGTCGCAAGACGCTGATCTGTTGTATATGCCAAGGCAGAATTTTACCAACAACGTCTACGTTCTTTGCAAGGCCTGCGCGTCCCTTTGGCCGCGGCCCTCCTCGTGCCCATGGCCATCGCTCTGCGCTTGTAGAGATGCCATCGTCCAGGTGACCTGGGAATGTTGCTGATGGATGCTGATTGTACCATTGTTCATGGGTAAATCAACGATTTCTATGGCCATTTCCAATAGCTACATTAAATTACCAGAGGGTATGTTCCATGTTTTTTTTCCGGATTACTGGAGATCGTGAAAATCATATCATAAATGCTGTGCATGTTTTTCTTCACTGCTAGAACTACGCTGCACATCGCTGCACTTCAGAAAGTGTTGGGTTTGAGGCTTTGGTCAGGCCCAGTCAGCCGCGCGATTGACTCGTGAAAATCTCAGGTGGTGACTCAGGACGTTCACATCCTGTGCCCTCAGCGGAATGCTATGGCAGACCTGTGGCATCGCTGGATCACAGCCTATACCAGCTGTTGGTTCTCCAATTCCAATGCTCTTCAATGGCTGACCTCGATGCTTGGTGGAAGGCACTTTTTTTGGAAGTGGCTTATGTGGTAACCAACAGAATAAACCGCCAATGTCGGAGGGTTTTATCCATGTCTGGTGAAATTCGGGATGTTAATTGGGTTTACCACAGCTTACCAGGCTTACCACATGACTTTGCTTGCTACATTCATGACATATGATGTTGAACCATCCCCAAGTTCCGATAAACAGCAAACAGAGTTAGCCACCCCCAACTGTCATAGGTTTTCTCGATTGCCATTACATATCCATGATATCCAGGGGCAGACAGTTGTTTTCCAAAAAACCTTAAGCCATTTTTGTTGGCCTGTGCGAAGCCATTCCTGGCTGCGATATCCCGATATGATATGATTGATATTAATTGGGTGCATGTGATGCAACAGACGCGCAAACACAGAGATATGTATCATATGATATCATATGTATATTTATTTGATGTTATTTGTATACATATATGTGGATATATGTAGAATATGCATAATATGTACAATATTTGTATATGCAATATATGTACATATGCGCATGATATTGTTCAATACTCTTATATATACCGTGGCATCATCCATCTCAATCTCCGTGGGCCGCTAAGGACCACTCTTCTCCAGCGGCTGCGGGCGAAGCTGGTGTCTCTGGGGTGAGGCAATGGCGTTCTGAGATGGCAGGCTATTCCAATAGGGAAGAGGTGCCGGCACAGCATAGCGTGCTTCCATGCATGATCGTCTCACTCCAATTCGCTTAGTTACAATGCTAACAGTGCAATGAGAGTTGCCTACAGAGGACAACAATGCTACTCTGCATATCATCAGGTGAAAGCGCTTACAACAAGCTAATTGCTTGGATCAAAGATGCAATGTTGGAAGATCGAAAATGTTGCCGAAGGCTGGCTGAACCTTCCAAAGCTGAAATTGAGACCACAGCAACCACGGCTTTTGGCTTCAACTTCGAGGCGGGCAAGAGCATGTTGCATGAAATGAATGAAATGAATGAACTAGATCCTATATGGAGATTATCTTGATTTATTTTATTCTATTTTGATTCATTATCCTTCCTACTGTTCCATGCTGTTCCGCATTGGTTTTTCCGACACTTCCTACTGTACAGTGGCCACCAGGACCTCTTCAAGCTTGGGCAGGACATAGCAATGCCAGCTGTTCACTGACGCTTTGGGTGGGATGATGAGAGCGTCGAGATATCTCGAGCAGACAGCATGTTTTGGGGAGAGTTTCTGATGGCTAGTTTCAACCGCAAAAAGTGACGATCCCCGTCCCCCATGACCCAATTTTGGATGGGTTGAAACCACCAATCGGATGAGGATGGTACCCGAGCAGCCAACAATTTGTCAGCGAACTTGGCCCTGTGCCAGGAGGTCATGGATGAGGGCACCAGCAAAGCTGTCAAGTTCAGGGAACATGTGGTGAACATGAGAGGATGAGCCACTTCAGCATACTTTAGCCATATCGCGCTATATGTATCTTTATATCTGTTAAGCATCATGCAAGTTTGCCAGCGTCATGAACTGGCAAATCTACAACCAAGTTGGACCAGCTGCAAAATGCTTCGAAATTTGCAAGGTTGATTCTTCACTTCAGAGGCTTCAATTATTTTAATTGGTTGGATTTTGCAGCTCCTCAGGATTGACCATTGGCAGCCCCCAATGCCGCTACCTTTCTTTCAATCTATGTGAATACAGCACTTCAGGTCGTTCCTTTGACATCCAGTCGTTTTCGAGTCGCAATCTTCCACAGTTGTTATTGGCACCATGGCTGACAAATAGCGTTGTGCCAGGTGAAGAATACAACATCTATGGCGAGAGCGACAATGCCCCTTGACATTGTTTTTTGTGCAACCTGAGCCAGTTGCATGACTTGAACCAGGACATCGAAGGACCAGAAGGTATGGGAACCCATAGGATGAAGCCACGCTTGACCTTTCTGTTTCTTAAGGAAGAAAAGTTTGCACAACGGGTGGAGGAAGCTCAAAAGATCATCGCTCAAGAGTCCGGGAAGCCAAGACATGCCACCTGTGCCACCTGGTAAGGGGAAGGCCTGGAAGGCCTGGAAGGTGTGTTTATTGGTGGGCTCTGAGCCTGGGTTGTGCAATAGTGTGCCGTGCCCAAAAAACATGTTCCCTTTTTTCCTTCCTCATTTCCCAGAGATGCAACTCATGATGCTTGCGAAATCTTGTGAACATTGGTTCCAGACCATTCTGCCATAGAAGCAGGGGGCTCGTGTTTCTGCACTTGCACTTGTCGAGGAAAGAGCGTATGGAAGGAGGGATGTTGGGACGCATGAGGAAAGGCGCTGCAGCCCTGAGTGAAATTTATGATGCATCATCAGTGAGACAAGAGAAACAAACGAGATTCAAACAAATTAGGCAATTATCTGAAAATAGGGCGCTGCAAAATCTCATGTTTGATGGTTGTTTTTTTCCGTTTAACAAATTTGAACGCTGCCACAAATGGGGCTATCCCCTAGTTTTGAAGAAATGGAGAACATAAAATGCATGCCATCAGTGGGCCATCAGTATCAACCATGTTACCAAGCCAGCAGGTGTTACTGCTGGAGGAGTCTACTGCTCAGTGCGTAACGGCTGCTTTGGCTCTTGAGCTTATCTCCAGAACTGTCCAGTACACTAACAGAAAGATGGAACATCCATGAACATCCACCGATCATTTCCTAGGGAAGCCATGGGAAACCCATGGTCCACATATGTTACATTAGTTTATTGGAGGGCAGGTTCTAGATCTTGAGACCCTTCAACACTTTACTTTCGGCGCATTTCCCACCTATAGCACTTGATGCTTTGCTGAGGCACGCGAGCGAGCAGCAAGACGAAAGGGAAAGAGGGGTGTCAGATGCCTATAGCCTATATGTTTCAAACTTTCATGGCATGCGGCATGCAGGTCAAGATAAGTCAGTTACACAATGTTATTACACATGTCGCAAGACCTAAAAAAGGCTACCTGGCCTTTTGAATCCTTTTGACATAGTGTAGCTGCTGCTCAGTGTTCGGCGAAAGCTCAACTCCCAGTTTCCCGGCTATGCCTAGGAAGCCAAAGACGTTTCACCTGCACCAAAGTCGAAAGCTTCGGAGCCAGCGCCAGCTGCAGCAACATCGGTTTCACCACGAAGGACAGGAGTTGTGGCTGGGTTTCGATATGATTCCCAAAATGGATGGAGTAAGTTATGTTCATACAAACATTATTATAATAAAATCAGATAAGATCATAAAAATAATTTTCTGATACGACAAAAACAGGACCAGCCCTGGCTCCATTGCCTCAATTTTCACTGCAGGACCACACCGCCACAGCCTGTGTCCGTCTTTGGCTTCAATTTCGAGCTTCCGGAGCGCGGCAGCCGTCAACTCCAACAAGGGAGTTGGCCCGAAAAACCCTCTGGTGATCAAAGGTGGCAATGGAGAACTTATAAACCCTAGCCTTTATGGGGTCTTTAATGATTTTAATGGGAAAGCCAGAAATGATGACAGCGGAAAGGGAAAAGTATGATCAACCAGCAAATTCTAAGGCCATGGTCCTTTAACACATCCAAATACTGTAAAGTCGTTGTGACATTTGGTTGGGAGTGGAAGTACATTCAGTAGAAAATCAGCATAATCAGCTTCGCACAGTCTTCGAAGCTCACATAGAAAGAAATGCTGTCAACATCTGTCAACTTAGTTAACCTGGTACTTGTTTGTAAGCTCAGCATACAGATGCATAGGGGCCAATAGGGGAGGCGACGCACATCCAACTGCCGGAAGGAGCTGTTGGCATTTGGGCAGGACCGGCAGAGATTGGGCCGGCAAGCTTTCAAGATGCCAGGCCATTTGGTTGAATTTCCACAATTATAATTATATAATTTATAATAATTTATATAATGATATAATTCAATAATTCATTGTAATTCTAAATAATGAACCATATATTTTACTGATTGGATTTCCATATTATTTTTTTTTCCATCTGTGCCATCCCATCACTCATTTCGCGGATTCCGCAGATTTGGTTCTCAACCATGGGCAGAATGGCATCACTCGAAATCTCGGGAAATTTAAGCAGAATGCCCAGGGCTTAACATAGGTCACTAGTGATGTCACTACAGGTATATAGCATTCTATAGCTATATAACTTAGTTCAATGTTGTGAAAAATAGTTTCACGCAACTACGCATGTTCCAAATGATGATACTTAACACAATTGCAATGGCCGGGACTCTGTGCACAAACCTTTGAATGCAGTCTGTACAGCGGGAAGGATGATGATTAAGGAGACATGCTGATGTGATCACCCTTCAGAATCTTCAGACTCTGGAAATATATGTCATAGGACATATATGTTCCTCTATAAAAATCTTTGTGAAATTTGTATCAACCAGGCATAACCAGGCATTATTGATCAACCAGGAGAAAAACGACCGGTTTTTGGATGCCTAGCCATGGCCGATCTCTCAGATGAGCTGATCCCAGCTGGGCCCTGGACATCCGACCGCGAGGAACAGCCAGGACAGGTGTTGCAGATTCTGTGGGACATCCACTTTTAAAACTGGAAAACCACATGAAAACCACATATCCCTATGGAAACAAAGGTAGCTTCTTAGGAAGTATTTGAAGTATGATTTTTAGGCTTAAGTATTTTCTCAGGAAGTGTTTGGACTCATAGGGTATTGTTCTTTGCACGTTGAATCATAGTGAACCCATTAGAAAGAAAACGGGGATTGTTTATTCCACCCATTTCAGGTATTAACAACTTGGGGACGGTTTATCATTGGGTTTTTACCACAATAGTCCAAATGGCTTAGATTTTGACAATGAGAAGAGCTTCAGAGAAAGAACACAAATTTCCTGAGATGCATTTTGAAGCACAAAGCAAACATCATATGCATGCATAGTGTGCATATAGTGTGCAAATTCATGAAGCATATCAGACATGTCAATCTGGGATGTTGAGAGATGCTCCAGCAACATGGTGGCACCGGTGGCACCAGGTCTTTCAAAGCTGTCTGAGCGAGAAGACCATTCCAGTCAGAAGCATGTGGAGTTTCCTGGCTTGGAGGAGCAGCTTTTGATCGGAGAGTTTTTCGGTCGTGTTTGATCGTTTCCACTTTGCCCTTGCTCTTTGCCACGTCCATTGAGGGGGGAGTTGACGAGTCTTGGGGAGCGGACTGCAGAATCAGTTGGCGCATTGAGACTTGGAGATGTTCACTTCACCTTTATCATACTTTTATCTTCTTCTCTATCTTGTTCTCTATGCCCGGCGAGAATCGCTCCAGGAGAATCCGGCCGAGGAAAACCATCGAAGTCCCAAGGGCCTTTTTGCATCATCCTTCGGGAGCTTCCGAGAATTGCGGTGGAATGCAGATGACCAGGTGGGGCCCATGGGTCCATGGGTGCTGTGGACATCTGTGGACGCAGGAATTGATGCAACAACTTTCCACCCTTGATTTGTTCCCTTCTCCAGGCCTTTGCTCGCTTGGCCTTCATTTTTTTTGTAGTCCACCTGGCTGGCGGCCTGGTGCTGATCGCTTTCTATTACAACTTTGCAGCTTTTGAGGTTTACATCATGTCATTATTCTGGGTAACTCGGCTGATCTTGGCTGAAGTTGTTTCATGTTATCACTGGCATGTCTTTGGGCCAATGTTTTTACCGGGAGAAATGCGAGCGGCATTGCCTCAAGCCAACCCCCTGACAGGCAATGATTGTGTCGATTCCACTATACCAGGTGAAGATGACTATAATGAGATTTATTTTTTCCAGACTCTTGCGGCAGACCTTTGTGGTAGTGGAAGTGCCAGACGAACATCATCATCACCATCGCCACAAGGTCTTGATTCGAAAATTGCCATGGTTCTACTGGTTGTATACTGAAAAGCTTGCAGAGACGGAGGAGCCTGTCGATTCTGGACAGAACTCAGAGGATCATGAGCCATCGGAGCCAACTGTAGAGGCCTTTGTTGATAGAGAAGCCAGCGAACATCTCCGGAAAGAATTGGCGGAAGGAAAGATTTACCATGCAGCCATCGTAGCCTCTGGCAGTCATCCACAACAGATCGAGGCTTTGTGGCGCGGAAATCAGCCGGTTGGATTCTTTGTTCTCAAAGAAATTGGAATAGAAATTGATACGCCATTTGATACGCGCTTGACCCGCTATATTCGCAATAAGACCACAGCAATAAGAAAAAACACAGCAGCATATAGATGATGTGTATATATATATGGTATAAATATACTATATAGTCAACTTGTTTGTGGGCTCTCCAATATTGACCCGCTGTACTACGTAGTGTAATTAAAGTTCACCTTGACTTTGCCATGCCATTTGAACGAAATTTGGCATGCCTCTGATATCCTCTGATAGTATGTTCTATACTTCCAGTTCCTCTCTTTGTCATGTCCCTTGCATGCTTCATCAGGCTCACTGGGAGAAGAAACACTGGTTGGGGCCGTCTCTTGGCTTCTCATTTCGCTTCGCTTGTGGGAGGGTGCTATGTTTCTTGTATCTCGTTGCATCAAACTACGTCAAGTTGCACACGTTGAGTGGATATGACGCATGTTTGATACCATCGGCCGTGCACATCTTGATCTCCAGCCACCATGGAACAGTTCTAAATTTTTGCTGTTCCTTTCGTTGAAATCCTACTCATGTCGGGACACTGCTCCAAGCATTTGAAGACCTTTCGGATGCTGTGGGTTTGGGTCGGAATCATTGACAGCCCAAAATATTTATGGTTGATATTTTCAAAATTACATAAAATGACATAAATATACATAAATGACCAATGTTCTGCAGGTCCATCAGCAGTACCTCCTTTTTGCGGCACCTGGCTGGACAGGTCAGCCGGTGGGCAGCGTGTCTGGCTCAAGCCCCAGAAACGTTTCAGGAGTGTGTGCACCAGCCATGGGAGACTCTCAAGGCTTCTTAGCCCACGGCCTTGTGATAGGGACCATCACCTTCTTCGTGATTGGTGTGGCCGCCAGTATGATCTCCTCCACCTTCTTTGTCAAGGAGACAGCCAACATCACGAAACAGGAAAGCATCAGACTGGGATGGGTCGTGGTTTGGGTGTCCATCTTTAGTATGTGGCTGATGTGGGCATGCGTCTATATGCACCAGATGGTGCCTCTCATGGAGCCCCTACATATTGTGAAATGAGACGCTGGATGGGCTGACGCCTGAGCTTAGTGGAGCTTCCGGAAAGCAACGTAGGGCCACAGGGCGTGCACTGTACAGATTCGCGTGTGGCGCGAGGAGATCACTGTTCTCACCCAGGAAAAGGTAACTTCAAGCCGGGTGAGCCGAGGGATACATTGCAGCCCAACATAGGACAACATTTTCTTAAAGGATCTTGAAACAGTGAATGAGTATGCACTTTGATTAGTGCGCACGGATTGGGTATCTCTAATCCCTTCTGCATCTGGGGATGCAGATATTTGTGACAATCCAGTCAGCATTTTTGGCCCAGTCGCTGGTTTGGTGACTTCCCAGATCTTCCCAGCCATCTTGAGGCTTCGACCCTATGCGAGCTTCATGGATATTTTCCGGGATCTTTACAACCTCTATGAAGGCACAGAGACGTTCATCGTCTTCATGCTGAAGCCCTTTCATCAGTTCAGCCATCAGGCTGGGAATGGTTGGAATAGGGTTCAGTGACTTCAGTGGCTGCATAAGGGTCTCTCACTGAACATGTATATTTATAGTCGATGTTTGCCTATCTATATATAACATGTATATATATATATGTGTGTGTATATATTGCAGTACATATAAATGAGGACACCCTACTGTAACTACTGTTTTCTTCTCCCTTCGTTTGTAAGCTGTGAACTTCCAGCTCTTCGCACTGTACAGTGATTTCTGCATTCCGTACTCAGGGATCTGAAGGCAGCACTGCAGAAAGTAGAGATAGCTGGGGTGCTGCAGTATTGTCAATTGTGCTTCAAGACGGTGTTTTCCAATATGCCGCAAATATGCTGGTCAAGCAATAGGCAACACAGTAGTGATGGCGCGATGGAGGGAGATAGAGAGAAAACATAGCGAGAGAGAGAGAGAGCCAAAAACAAAGAGAAAAGAACATGAGAAAGAGAGAGATTGTGTGATGTCACCGCTCCACCCGTGCGAGGACGACAAAGTACCTCTCTCAGCGCCATATTTTGGACTCTTGTTGCGCCTATGTGCTCTTCAACTTCTTGGAAAGCTTTGGAGTCGCAACTTTGTCGAAGTCATGTGATGGTTAAACTGGTTAAACCGGTGCCGTGGCGCCCGTTTGTGACCCCATGTGGCATGTGACCGCCAAGGTGAGCTGCAAATGAAGCTGATGTTTGTGGCTTTCTACACCTACCTTTTTGTTGTCTCCGTGCGCTTGGCTGTGTGGACTATTGGTGGCTTGTTTGCGACCGATGGATACCTTAAGGATCCTTAAGGGGTCATTTGAAAGTCAGTGTCCAGCATAGATCTCGCAGTCTCAGCTACAACGATGAGGTGTCCTGACGCCAATCATATGGTCAAAGATTCCGTTATCTTTGCGCGAAGCTTCGCAGCAGCTTCGGCTTCTCCTGAAAAGGCTCGGCATCAAGTGGTGTTGCATATATATAATCATAAAGTGATCCAATGTGATGCATGAAGTGTAGGTCATAAGATCTCATGCAAACCATTTGGGGATGGGGTCACAGAATGGGACAGGATGCTTACTGGATCAGTTTCAAAGTGGCGGAAGAAACTCCTGGACAAAGCCGTTCAGAGCTTCGAGGAAAACTGTCACTTTCTCCTTTCGATGTTGTGCCTTGGACTGAGATCATATGCGCTCACGTGGTGGATGGATTCATCGTATCCCCTCAGAACTAGCTTCAGTCCAACACGCGACTCAATGAATAGGATTGCATATATTTAATAGTGTTTCTTATTTAAAATATATATATATATATAATATAATATTTATTTATTTGTTTGTTTGTTTATTTATTTATTTATTGATTTATTTATTTATTATATAAGCCTGTGGGTCCTTCTTTTTGGCATGGCACATCTATGCACATCTAACATCATTTGACCATGTAACCTTTTGGATCTTTGGGGGCAAGATCTCTTGACTGTACCGAAACCATTGCAACTTGCAACCATTTTGGCTTGGAGAGGATCAGCAGTTTGAAAGGCCTTAGATGCCATGGGCCGCAAGGCCAAAAATGAAGTGGACAGCTTGGTCCTTGTAGAAGATTCCGTGTCACAGGGACGGGGAGGAAGATCGCCTCAGTCGCATTCCCTGGAGGTTGCATCTCAGGATGGACTTGCAGCAAGTGCACCAAACCTCAGGAAGAGCAACCAGACCCCAGCACCCGGCCAGTATGTTTGGCATGACGACGTGCATCTGCGGAAGAAGCCCGTGTGGTCCATGGCGTCACCAGATCGGAAGAATTTAGATTTGATGCTCCCTACTTGGACTCCAGCTTCAGGTTCCCTGCAGCCCCGAGCACCAGACCCCGGGGAGTATGGCTGCCAAGATACCTGCGGCCGCAATGGCCCCTACCGTCCCCCCAAGTGGTCGCAGGCGCGCTCTAGCGGACGGCCCTGCTTGGCACCAGACCCTCCAGAAGTGGTTGAGCTGGAGAACAAGATCCCATCATCATTTGGTGGTGAGAATCCACTTCAGGCATGGCCTCCAAAATGGTCTGTTTGTGGAAAAGATCGATCTCAGCTGCCCAATGATATCGCGACTTGGACTCCCAAGCCCAACACGGATATCCGTCCAGGGCCGGGGGCTTATAACTTGGACCGGAAATCGAAATGGAAAGCCTCGTCACGCAGTGGGTGTACCTGGGGAAGGCGCTTGCCGAATCTTCATCCTGAAGTACGTGCCTTCATTACTCAGACAAGTGGTGCCAGGATGAAGTATGGAGACTGGATGCGATACCGGCCCGAGGCTGGGTGATGCCAGTATCATGTAGTATCCACTAGTGACACTGCTCAGAATTGGTGCCAGACACAGTTTCGCAGTTTGACAAAAGATAACATAACTCAGTGGGTGAAAGGAATAACAAAAGGTTCCACAATGTTCCACATATATCAACATATCAATTGCATGCAGCATTTGCAATGTTTGCAGCCATTCCGGACCTGCCAAGATAACATTTTCTGGCGCACGTTTCACGGGTTTCACATCCAGCTTCGTTCACATTGCATAGCAATTGCGGGGCGCGGGAAGGTTGACCTCCCCGCAGGCCACACATGGCCACAGCTATTAGCCCGGAAAATCAAGCGACGCCATTCAGCACAGCAGTTCCTTAAGCACGGAGCCATATGCAGTACATGCAAAAGATGGAGAGATCATGGCATCATATGGCATCCATGGTATTATTGATCAAGTGGTCACAGTTTGGTGCCATGTGGGATCTCCAACCAGTTGCCATACGTTGCTCCAGGATCATCATGGCTGCGATGCTGCTGACGGTGAATTTCATGAGCTTCTTGGTGATCTCTCTCCGCCATGAAGCGGAGGTGATACACAGCACGTGCTACGGACTGCTGCAGAAACAGGAGGCGACGAAGGGCTGGGCCTTGTTCCCTTCCCAGCTAGTAATACTCAATTTGGGGCCAGCACATGATCTGGTTGGTGGTTTGGAACATGTTTTTTTTCTCCATATGTTGGGAATAGTAATCCTAACTGACTAATATTTTTCAGAGGGGTTGAAACCACCAGCCAGTCATCTTTGTTGTCAAGTTGTGGGCGTTGAACACATACGGTAATTACTTGAATGTACTTGATCTAGGGTTACTCTTCGTGTAGGAAAACGCATGTGACGTTTACAGTGCTGATGGGCTTCAGAAGCAGCTCTTAGTCGATTTTAGTGATTATACAGTCAAATCATACGGGTGTTATCAGGTGTTTCCACCTGCCCTGCCCCATTTGCCCATCATTCTGCCCATTTCTAGGCCTATCAGTCTGTCATGGAGCGACTCACACATGCTTCGGATGGCGACCTCTTCGCGACCTTGCTAGCCAAACTCGAAGAAACATTGCCGGAGTATGAGAGCCTTAGCTGATGAAGGTGATGTTTAGTTGATGTTTAGTTGGATGTGATAATCATCGGTATGATCTCTGATGATCTCTGTTTAGTTAATGATTGGTGATGTTGGATCATACAAGTTTAGTATGATCTTGTTAGAACCTCCTGATAATATATCTGATAATCACGAGTCACACTAGTTAATCACCCATCGTGTTTGTGATTCATGGATTCATGGCACTTTGGGGGCATCCGCTCGTTTTTCACCAGCGGCTGAAGTTGCTGATCGTGTTGGGCAGCAATGCATGCAGAATATGCAGAGTTGCCGCGTTTGTGCGTTCAGATAGCAGCAAATCTGGTTGAAGTGCATGGAACCATTTGGCCCATGACCAGCCCATGTTTGACACCTGGTGAGGTTGATGCTTGCCAAGCACATTCCAGACTTCTACATCCTGAAGTATGTGATGTATGACTTGTGGACAGACGAGCATGGCATGAGTGATGCCGCACATCATCAAGGCACCTCACCAGAAATGGCAAAGGCATGCGAAGAGGTGGCTTGGCTCAGGACCAACCACAGAACAACACGACACGATCGGATGCTGCGCACCAACATGCAATGCGCCATCTTACATTGTTGCATATGCTTCTCGTGAGGGAGTGGAAGTGATGTTTTATGTTGTGTTCACCTTGTTTTTCTTTTTGCAGCCTGTTTTGTACAGACCGTTGACCCCGAACCTGTCACCGAAGTAAGGCAGTGGCCCATGGCGCAAGCTGCAATGCTGCTTGGCACCACAGATTTCTCTTTCGGTAGGTAATTGCTGGTGATGCACTTGCTGCTACTTTGATAATTTTTGAGAAGAATGTTGGATACTTTACGTGCCTCAGACTCACCAGTGATCACCAGTGCACTTGCGGTCGGAAGAGGCCGAAGAGACTATTGTGATGAAGCATGCTTTGAGAAACACAACTGCGCTTCTGCGTGGCTTAGCAGCTGGAAATCTGACAGATATTGCTTCTTTGTTATCTGGAGCCTATGCCGAAATCTCTTCTATCTCTTCTTGGCTACTTGGATCTAGACAAGAGGAGCAAGAGAGCATGCAAAAAGGATCAAAAAGGATCAAAAAACAGCAATATTTCCATTCCTCAGTGGGCTCCGCGTTGTCAGAATATGTCAGAATTGTATTTCATAGACCCCTAGGAGGGGCTTCTTCTCCACCTGGATTAGATCCATGTTTGTGCTGCCTGTGGATATGGCTCCTTTGATTTTCGCCTGTGGATAGGTTCAAAGATGATGCAACTCAGAGCACCACCGCAGAAGCTTTGAAGGATGGAGCTGCCCATGGGGCTACTCTGTTAGCCAGGCTTTTTGCTCGCAGGGAGGCCCTTCAGCCGTCATCACGCTTGGCATGTTGGATTTGGCAGTTTGGTAGGGGGAATTGCAAGGGGGAACAGAAGCAAGTAGTGATCGAAAGATGATGTGTGATGGTGAAACCTATGCAGCCATGTGCAGCCTACGTATGTAAGCATGGCTATTCTATTCTGTTTGTTTTTAGGTGCCCTGCAGAACATGTATTCGTTGAAGCCACTTGCAAATTTCAAGGGCGTTGGAATTTCGGTGGCCTGCAGTTGCGGCCTGCTGAGGCTCACATATTTCCTTCCACGTGTCTTTTTGGATATGCTATCTTCAGCGTCAAGCGCGCTTGGGCAAACCATTGTTTTTATGACAGCTCTTTTCTACCTTTTGTCTGCAGAAGAGTCATGTTTGGCAGTGGTGGGCGACACTTGGCTGAAGCCCTCCGGGTAAAGAGTGCAGTGTCGATAGGGCAGAATAGCAGGCCCTGCCGGAGAATCATCACATCTCAGATATTCCCAGATAACACTATAGATATAATCGGATATTCGCATATATATATATATAATATCGCCCTTGAGCCAACACAAATGATATATTAGAGAGTTGACATCTCAGATGGACCTGCTTTTCACATGCTGTTTCTGACTAAAAACCCCTGGAGAGATACTGATTTGACTCCAGCAGCTTGTACCCCTCGGGTTTTCATGTTCCAAGATGTTCCAAGTGGGTAACCATTGGTAATTACTGCCCTGGATGCTCAATGAAACTCAGGAATTTCTTCGCGTGGTGGATCAGAATCAGGTGATTTTTGCGATTACCGAGAAGGTGATGCGCGCGGTGCTGGTCTCTGCCATGAAGATGTCTGCCTTTCACGCACCTTGGCGTTGCGTAGCGTCAATCTGAATCATTGCCATCAGTTGGATACATTCCGCAGGTGAATCCTACATTCATCTTTGATTCACATCCCATAGGATCCATGTATGGTATATATGCTAACATTGGGGGTATATTGAAGGTAAATGTTACCATATATAGCAGCACCATGGATCCTATGGGCATCCAAATGCATGAACAATCACGTGAACCGTACTTCTCCAGACTCCCTTCTCAGTCCCTTGTCTTTGTGCGAGGCTTTGTTCACCTGGCTGCTCTATTCTTTTGGGCAACTTCCCATTGTGGTGGTGCCCACCGTGCTTTCAGCCATCCTGGCGCTGGTGCCCAAGGTGTCTCCTGTATGGAGCATCTCAGTTTGGGCAGCGGGGTATCTGTGGCTCCACAACCAGAGGATCTGTGCTGCCCTGTGCCATGGCAAGTCTCAGAGAACAGCGTTCCCGGTTGCTGAATGACATCGTAGGACGATTCACCATAGCTCTTGGCTATTGGAAGCACTTCATTTCAGCAATCGCTTTCGTCCTGTTTCCTAATCTTCGATGGTTGCGAAGCAGTGATGTTCCCACTTATAGTCAATTGTATAATCATCATAATCCATTGCTGAAGACTTGGTGATCATTTCATGTCCATGTTACTTCTTGTTGAAACCCCGAGGTATTTCTTCGTGAACTTGGCTGTTTGGTGGCAGGTGCTTGTCGGCCAAAAAACATCAAGATTTGTACTTGGCTCCCACACACAAACAATATTCCAATGTCCCAAAAAATGAGTTTCGATGAGTTTCGATGCATTTCGATGCATTTTTTCAGGAAACCACAAGTTTGATTCAAACAACATGGGGAAAAAAAAAGATTTCCCCGGAATCTCCAGGTGCCTACGGTAATCTATGCTGAAATTCCCGAAGCAAACGCCTGGCTGACGGGCCTGGGAGTGGTGCTGGGGGTTGGACAGTTTGGATTGGCTGGCGTGGTCCTGGGACCTCTACTGGCATCGGTGCCGTTGATTTGCTGCTCAGATTGGGATGTCAGTGTGATTTTTTTTTGATTCTTTTGGCATGGCATCAAATGTTGGGAAATGTTTGGAACCCAAAGTCCCAACATGTCCCAACACCCACAATGTGAAGCTTGGTTTTTCATGGCTTTTCATGGTTTGTTTGTTTGCAGATCACAGAATATCACAGAATTGATGAGCAAAGGCTACAACTTGGTGAAGCTTTTCAACACCTTGCAGTGGCACCAGGTGACCTGCACGATCTATTTTTTCGACAGTGAAGTCTGCATTTTGACTGGCGCAGGAAAAAACCCGAAAACGATCGAAAAGCAATCTACGTTGTAATGATCTGCAATGTGTACATATATACCTCAATCTTCCTCATGTGTCGTTTTTCTGCCCCTCTGCTTTTTGACTCTGATTTCAGCCCCTCTGGGCAGTTTCAGCCCCTTAGAAATATTTCTGCCCCTTTGGTTTCCTGGAAGTTGCCAATCAAGAAAGATTTGCACACCAACACTCTGGTTCAGAAAAATCAATGATTTTACTTCATTTGTTTGGAAATCAGGCTACTCATGACTTTTGAGCTGCCCACGTATTTTTTTGTGCTTTTGATTTTTTGTGGGGTAAATCAGGCTACTCATGACTTTTGAGTTGCTCATGTTTTTTTTTCTGGTTACTCATGACTCTTAGGCTGCCCATGATTTCTTGTAATTAGTTAGTTATCATTTGTTTAATTTAAGGCTACTCATGACTTTTGGGTTGTTCATGCTTTTATCTTTCATTTGTTGCTCATGACTTTTTAGTGCGTTTTTCTTAATAAAGGTTACTCATGATTTTTGAGCTGCTCATGTGTTTATTTGTTACTCATGATTTATTAGCTGCTCATGACTGCGTCGGGTTACTAATTGTTTTTTTGTTTAATAGGCTACTCGTGACTTTTGTGTTTCTTATGACTTTTGTTTTCGTTGCTCATGATTTTTTCTTATCTTTTGAAAGGCTACTTATGACTTTTGAGCTGCTCATGTTTTCTTCTCGGTTACTCATGACTTTCTGGCTGATCATGATTTTTTTTGTAGTTATGTTTTGTGTTTTTTTAATGAGGCCATTCATGACTTTTGGGTCACTCATGTTCTTGTAAATTGGCTACTCATGACTTTTGAGATTCTCATGATTTTTGTTTTTGTTGCTCATGTTTTCTTTTTTTACTGTACCCATGACTTTTGAGTTTCTCATGTTTTATATCCTGCTCATGTGTTTTTTTGACTCGGGCTGCTCATGACTTTTGAGTTTTTCATGTTGTCATTTGTTGCTCATGAGTTTTTTTTTTTAAGAAAACTGCTTACTCATGACTTTTAAGTTTGTCATGTTTTTATTTCCTGCTCACATTTTTTTTTGGCAAGGCTACTCATGCCTTTTGAGTTTCTCATGTTGTCAGTTGTTGCTCATGAGTTTTATGTTTTTATCTATAAAGGTTACTCATGACTTTTGAGTTTCTCATGTTTTTTGTTTCCTGCTCACTTTTTTGAATAAGGCTACTCATGCGCGGTTTTTTTTTGATAGTAAGGCTACTCATGCCTTTTGAGTTTCTCATGTTGTCATTTGTTGCTCATGAGTTGTTCTTTTTCATGAAGGCTGCTCATGATTTTTGAGTTTCTCATGTTTTTATTTCCTGTTCATTTTTTTAAATAGGCTACTCATTTTTTTTAGCAAGGCTACTCATGCCTTTTGGATTTCTCATGGTGTCATTTGTTGCTCGTGAGTTTTTAGTTGTTTGCTTTGTGTTTTTTTTTTTATTGGCTACTCATGACTTTTGAGATTCTCATGATCATTGTTTTTTGTCGCTCATGAGTTTTTATGTTTTTTTTCCTAAATGAAGGCTTCTCATGACTGTTGAGTTTCTCATGTTCTAATCTCATGTGTTTTTTTTTTTTTAAGTAGGGCTTCTCATGACTTTTGAACTTCTCATGTTGTCATTTGTTGCTCATGAGTTTTTAGTTTTTCAATTGGCTACTCATGATTTTTTAGTTGCTCATGTGCTTTTTGTTACTCATGATTTTTTTTAAGCTGTTCATGTTTTTTTGGGTTACTCATGTTTTTTTGCCTTTAATAGGCTACTCATGACTTTTGAGCTGCTTATGATTTTGTGCGGGTTTCTCATGTATTTTTTTTTTAATCTTCATGACTTGTGGGTTTCTGATTATTTTATTTGTTGCTCATGACTTTTTATGTTTATTTCTTTTCTAAAGGCTGCTCATCAATCACTTTTGAGCTATTCATGGCTTTGGATCCCATGACCGGGTATTTCCGCCCCTTAGACGGGTATTTCCGCCCCTTAGACGGGTATTTCCGCCCCTTAGATTTTGCTCATGCATGAACAAATTGATTCTGCACTCATGAGCAGCTGCTCATGCACGAGTACCCCTATATGAGCAGCTGCTCATGAGTGTCATTTCTTTTGCACATGAGGCACATGAGTAGCTGTTCATGAGTATGATGGTTTTCTGAGTAAGGCTACTCACGCCTTTTGAGTTTCTCATGTTGTCATTTGTTGCTCGTGAACTTTTATGTTTTTTTTAGGCTACTCATGACTTTTGAGTTTCTCATGTTTTTTTTTATTTCCTGCTCATGTTTTCTTCTTTTTTAATAAGGCTACTCATGTGTTTTTTTTTAGTACGGCTACTCATGCCTTTTGAATTTCTCATGTTGTCATTTGTTGCTCATGAGTTTGTAGTTTTTTCTTTTAATAAAGGCTACTCATGACTTTTGAGCTTCTCATTTTTTCTATTTCCTGCTCATGTGTGTTTTGCAGTAAGGCTACTTATGCCTTTTGAGTTTCCCATGTTGTCATTTGTTGCTCATGAGTTTTTTATGTGTTTTTTGTCAAAGAGGCTACTCATGACTTTTGAGTTTCTCAAGGTTTGATTTCCTGCTCATGTGTTTTTTTTTGTTTTTTTAGTAAGGCTACTCATGCCTTTTGAATTTCTCATGTTGTTAATTGGTTCTCAAAAGTTTTTAGATTTTTTTTTTGATAAAGGCTACTCATAACTTTCGAGATTCTCATGATTTTTGTTTTTGTTGCTCATGATTTGTTTTTTTTCAAGGCTACTCATGACTTTGAGTTTCTCATGTGTTTATTCCCTGCTCATTTTTTTGGTGGTTTTAGCAAGGATACTCATGACTGTTGCATTTCTCATGTTGTCATTTGTTGCTCATGAGTTTTTAGTGTGTGTTTTTTTAATTGGCTACTCATGATTTTTGAGCTGCTCATGTGCTTTTTGTTACTCATGATGTTTTTTTTAGCTGTTCATGATTTTTTGGGTTATATACTCATGCGTTTTTGCCTTTAATAGGCCACTCATGACTTTTGAGCTGCTCATGTTTTTTTTTGGTTACTCATGAGTGCTTTTTTGCACATGAGTAGCTGCTCATGCATGAGTACCCCTATACGGGCAACTCCTCATGAGTGTTTTTTTTGCACATGAGGAGCTGCTTATGCATGAGTACCCCTCTTTATGAGCAGCCGCTCATGAGTGTTTTTGCACATGAGCAGCTGCTTATGCATGAGTACCCCTCTGAGCAGCTTCTCATGAGTGCCTTTTTTTCACATGAGTAGCTGCTCATGCATGGGTGCCCCTATATGAGCAACTGCTCATGATGTTTTGTTTGCACATGAGTAGTTGTTCATGCATGATTAGCCCTATAAAGTAGCAATTGCTCATGAATGAATGACCCTGAAGCTACCAATGAATGAATGCCCAAATCTTGCTCACGCAGTAATACCCCAACCTCTAACAAAACCACCGGTTTAAAACTATATAGTGTTTCTGGGTATAAAAGCTGTTTATGACTGAATACTGATTCTGCTTTCTGCATTTAACGCATGAATACTCCAAATTCGAATGCCCCAGGAAGTACTTAATTATCAGACTTTTGCGCTTGGCAGCAGTTTATACTATGATGCCATATGATACCTAAATTCTGGTCACACCCTGTGGAGTCTTCTGGTGCCCCTGATGTGTTCATGAGGAAAATTTCAAATTGAACCTTTACTTAGCAACTTGATCAAAACCAAGTTTAATTGGCAGAGGATACATCCCAGCCACCCATGATCAGGATTGCTACATTTTGCTGTTCAAGACCTGAGTATGGAGTGATCCAATTTGTCCCAATTACAACTTATCTGGATGCCAACATGGTCAAAACCATGAACACAATGATTTCAGCCCCTGTGAAACAATTCCACCCCTTAAATGCCAGAGGCTCTTTTCCCCTTAGGGGCTAAAATTATGCATGCCCCGGAGGTTCTAGGTATATATATATATGTATATTGCATTATATGGCCATATATCACTATGTCAGACTAATTCAGACTACGTCCATGAGAAATGAGTAATTATTTTGTGTGCTGGTTTTCTAGCATCAAGCTTGACTCCTTCATCGTGCTGTTCTCAGCCCAGATATGACCTCGCAAGGCCTCAGAAAGCTCCACTAAGCGACCTTCGCTCTTCAACCTGCACAAGGACGGGCCTGGTTTAGATGGTTTAGGACGCCAGATGAAACCCCATTAAATTAGTGTTGATGAATTTTGAATGATATCCCAATCATGGTTGATTTTTACATGTGTATATATATATATATGAAAATTATAACCCTCATCATGGATCAGAGTTGGATATTTCATTACTATTATATACTCCCATATTCTATATCTATATCAATGTATTCATGCATTATATTACATGTTGTCAACTCTTTTTTTCTCATTATCATTTATCCCATGACGGATCCATGTACGGAGTGCATATGCTAACATGACTGGGGTATATTGATGGGATCCATGTTGGTTCACCCCCAGGGGGCTCATCCCCATGCAGCCATGGCAGCCACAGGATTTCCTCCCCGGTGCTTCTCCGCGCCGCGCCCCGTCCATGCGATCAGAGCGCTCCAGCAGTTCGGATTCAGAGACGCTGCAGCCGGAGCCCGTGGCGCTGGGAAATATGTGCTAATTATGTGCTAAATGGGTTGATTAATATAGTGATGAATATAGTGATTAATAGTGATTAATATAGTGATGAATATAGTGATGAATATAGTGATTAATAGTGATGAATAGTGATTAATAGTGATTAATAGTGATTAATAGTGATTAATGGAATTAGCTAACAGTTTTTAGTGATCAGTAGTGATTAATAGTGATAAATGGAGTGATGAACTACCGGTTGTGGTGATTAATAGTGATTACATAATGGTGATTAATGGATTAATACATGCTGTAACAATTATATTGATCGAAAGTGATTAGTATGGTGATTATTGTAATAACCAACTATCAAATGATTGACAATGATATGATAAATGTTTATGAAGATGAAACGTCATTTGATTCGTTTGACTGATGGGTTGAAATTGTCACATGTTTGTTTCGTTTTCTCACCTGTTTGGAATGAGAATTCCATTTGACATATCTTGACATCACACTTGACAAATAATTAGTCCTCATTTTTTGAGGGGGGTGCACCGCCAACCAGTGATTGAGCTTCTCCATTCCAAATATTTTCTAAGTACCAAAAAATAGCCGTTTTTCACTGTGTTTACATTGACATATGTTTATACGTTAAATTGGACCTGGCGTCGTGTTGCGTGTTGTTTTCCTTAGTTTGCGGATCGAATGCCTTGATGCTGTGACAGCTTCTTGGTTGCCCTTGCATCTATGTGTTGAGAACAAGAAATGGGAGCAGGTCCCAGGCTGCTTGATGATGCTTTCATTGCAGATCGTTCAATATTTCAACACACACAAATACATATACTTACATATATACATAACTATACACACATATATATATATATATACATATTATATTATCTTATATATATATAAGATGTATGTATAGCATATAGAGAGATACACGATGCCCTTAATGATAACATACACACAACTCGAGTACATTTATATACATTATATGACGATACCATGTTGAACATATTTGGAAAACTCCCCTAATAATCCCTAATACTAACGCCCCTCCCCCAAAAAATGAACACCTGGAATCGACTAGTTCCATATGGATTGGATCATTCCCCCATTCCCAACATTTAGCACCAGTACGAAACAATTCCATTTCACCCCAAACATATCCATGTTGAAGATATTTGGAATATAAATATATAATATGTATATATGTGCTATACATTTTGCTTATCCATGGACTTCCACAGGAGGCTTCCGCCCGCCGCAGCAGCCCTCCCACGTCGCCCACGTCGTCCATTTCGCGCGTGCGCCGCGTGGCGGCCTCGCCGGAGCCCGAGGCACCGGAGCAGACGGCGGTGCCCAACGGCGTGAGACGACGAGCCCTGGAAGATGGGTCGATGGGTCGATGTCTGGGGATGGGTTGACAGGATTTCATATGGATCTACTGTACTCGATGGATTTCAATGGGTTCTATGGGTTGGATGTGGGTTGATGATTTGAAGGTCACAGAACCCGGTAGTACGAACATGGTTGGCTCGTGCTTGGTATTTCTGGTGGACTGGGAGACTTGGCTGATGTCGAGTCTACGGAAATATTCTGCAGGAGTTTGATTCGTGTTGCCAGCATCTTGCTTTATTTACGGTGGTTGTGGTTCTTTGATGTTCTTTGGACATGCGAATCCGAAGCCCAGGAAATCGAATGCCATAGAGAGTTTGGCAAAGACCTCGATTGCGGGTGTGGCACAGATGCCGGATTGTCAGCATCATGTCATGTAAATACCATGAACTACAGTTTGGCTCTTGGGATCGCTTGGGCCATTGGGCAGAACATTGGTGTGGCATCCGGAAACTCCCAAGGGGTTTCTTAATGTACAGCTTCTGTGTTCATGATTGTTTGGCCCTCCAAATGGGGGGACAAATTGTTCCCAGTACAGTGCTGATGCGAGATCAAATAGTTCTGAGCCATTTGCCGCGAGTTTCTTCAATTTTCTTCACTTGGTGGTTGGAGTTTCCAGCATGTTCAAGCACTTTCTGCTTATCAAAGCTAGTGAAGCAGTGCGCAGTGCCGCAGTGCAAGCCCGCCAAGACTTGCTCAAGTGACTCTTGTTGTGGACCCTTTAATGCAATTTATTCAGCACTGAACTTTGAACAGTGTCTGACATATGCACACATTGATGCACATCTCCAAGACCTATTGTGCAGGATGGAGATGACGCCGCTAGCACTGCCCTCATGAATTTTGCTGACACTTTTTTCCCATGTTGTACTTACTGTACGAAGCTGCATTAAATTATACATGTGGGGATTTCAATGGGGGATCCCCAATGGTTTACCATGGAAAATCCCAAACAAAAATGGATGATTTGGGGGTGCCCCCATGACTTCGGAAAGCTCCAGATGTGATTTTCTTGGGCACCCTGAGCCAGGTGAAGTGCACAACGTCTACGGAAGCGATACAGTCCGCTGGGCAGCAAGAAACACCCTGATGGTCTGCAGTTTGGTCAAGATGCCAATCCAAGATTTGGGGATACCCTATGGTAAACTAACATAGCTATTGAAAATGGCCGATTTACCCATTAAACATGGTGATTTTCCATAGTTATGTTAGTTTACCAGAGGGTACCCTTTGATATTCTTTGGTAATCAAACATGGCAACAAATTCCCCATTGATGATTTTTTGCCCATTGATGTATGGGAAATAATATTGATGGAAATTGCCCATGTCTATGGTTGAGGATGAGTACCAGAGGGTATCCCAAACTTGGATGAACTAAGACTGGCTTCAACCCGCCCAGCAGGAGATGCAGGCACAACGCACTGAAGATGCGAAAAACATCATGTCCCGAGAGCCAGGACCTCTGCCGCAGAGTGTATGGATCACTATAAATATTATATATATATATTATATGTGTGTGTAGATATCGAGAAAAGGACAACCAGGAACATTGGGGACATATTTATGTACTGTAACGTACTGTACATATGTATTCTAACTTCTAACAATAGAAAAGTGCACATGTGTGCGTGTATATATATATATATATATCAATGTCTGTCTATTGTGTTGAGCACTAGTCACCTTCTGTACTCGCAGGTGAAGTTCCCATGTGCAACTGATGTGGTGTTGGCTGAAGTGGTCACTTAGGAAAGATCGATTGGAAGGTATGGCGCGTGGCCGAATGCGGCAAGGCCCTGCAGGAAATGGGCCGAACACCTGAAATGTAGAGTAAATGATGGGCGCCTGCGGATGAATCATGAAGTGAAGATCATGTTGTTACTGTCGCTGTGCTATTTGTTGGTGGTGGAAGAGATGAAGAGGTCTGGCCACATCTGGCCACTGCTCTTGAAATGTCTTTGTCGCAGGTCTAGTGGCCGCAGGTGGCGCTTGGTCCCCAGCTCGTGGGATTGTGAAAATTTGGAATGCTGCAGATGTACCGGTGGTTCCAATATGGGGTGGTCATGGGGTGGTCCAAAAATCTTCATGGAATGGCCCGGTTATGGCCAGTATAGCCCATCTTTAGACGCACCAATGTGAATGGAGAGGATGTCACCATGTTAAACATGCTGTAAAGATGCTGAAAAGATGCTGAAAATTTGCCATATTTGCCAAGGCAAGAGAGAGAATGGCAAAGAGGAAAGGCAAGAAGCTGGGCAACGCCACTGGGCAGAAACTAAACACCCTATTCCAATGATTTACCATGGCCATTCCTTAGCAAACCCTAGGCGATTGCTGAAACAGCACAAGCTGCACAAGCACAAGCTGGACCCAGTGCTGCAGAGTAGGCTGTGAAATTTGAACCGTGGGCCCTGCCTAAAATTGGGCAGCTGTACATAGGCCCTTTGAGGTTTACTTGGCCACCAACATGTTAGAGCCAAAATATGATTGCAATGCCTCAGATGATTTAGAGTTGCGTGATGTTACTTGCGTGCATGGCGCGTTTGTGCCACATATGTATATATATATATATAGTATATATATAATATTGTGTGTGTGTGTTTGTCACGTTTGAACACCTGCTGCTGAAGACGGCCTTTGAACAGCAGTTGCTGCGAACAGTTGTCGACTCTTGTCAAGATGTAATTGGTTTTGTTTGGGTTACTTCACTGTTGCATCCACCAAAGCAAACAAGGTCACATGGATATATCAAGGAACATCAAGGTACCAAGGTATTTCCGAAATATCCAGTGGTTTCTGTAGTAACAGTAGATGAAGGCTGAGTCATGAAGGTGTTGTTTGGCTCCACAGGGACGAGCGCAGAGAAATTTCACGGAATGGTCTCCAGTTCGCTCAATTTTTGTTTCTGTACCATCTGGTTATGACTAACATAGCCATGGAAAATGACCCATTTATAGATGGTTTACCTATTATAACCAGATGGTAATGTTTTTGTTGGTGCATCGGGCATGTTCAATGCTCAAGCTGATCATGCATCAACATGTCGTAACATGCCGTTCATTGTGATGTTCTGTACGAAGTCTCAAAAGTCTAAGTGAGACTTGACATGCAACCACGACAACCATGGCAGAAAGATTGCCACCTTGCAGATTTGCCCAGTTGGGGCATCCCTTGCTTTGCAGCCCAACCCTTTGACGCCATTGAGGTCCCTTGCAAGCTTACAGTGCTTTGGAATATTTAAGGGCTGCCGCCCCTGCCGCCGACCCCGGAAGAATCGGCAAGGAAGCAAACTAAATTCTGAGGCTTTCGATCTTTTTCCTATGTATATTGTTGTGAACTATATTTGATAGGTTTGAATTTTCATTTGTAAATGGGTTTTTCATTTGGGTGCATGTTGATATTATGATCCTATGGTTTTATGCGTTCACGGATCTAAGTAACTGTATAATAGTTAGATAATATATACATATGTTAAATTCAAAGTAAGTGAATCCAAATTCAAGTCAAGTGGTCCTGGGATTACATCCATCATCACTATCTTAATCAATCAGCATCATCAGCATCATCATCATCATCATCATCATCAGGTGACCCAACTCCCAAATAATAATCATCATCATCATGATAATCATCATCACCACCGCCACCACCATCATCATCATCATCATCATCATCATCATTTTTCACCCCTGACCACGGTGGCCAACCACCGCCGCTGCCACTGCCGCGGCTGCTGCAGCTTCACAGCGAGCCTGGCGAAGGACAGACTGGTTATTGGAAAAAAACTAAAGATCAATTGGTTACTGGGAAGAATTGACAAAGGGGGCAAAAGCTCAGCTGCTGTAACTTTTCCAAAGCGGTTTTGAAGAAGCTGTTACCCCCAGCTCCATCCAACGTCGGGATTGGTCATGAGATCTTACTATAGGAATCACCTCAGAAGTTCTTCTAAGGGATCACACGTATACCATCACCTTAGAATTTCATCTAAGGCAGCAGAAGGCTACAGGGGATGGCAGCGAACCCTTTGTCCTTGCCACTCATTAAGACCCCCCTCAGCGCTGAAGACATCCACATCTCAGTCCCCTTCTTGTGCTTCTCACCCTTGGTCATCATCACTGTGTCGCCGGAAGAGCCATTGCTGATGCCCTCATTCTCTTTCTGGGTGAGCATGTCCACATAGGCCTTTATGAAGGCGCCCTTGGTGATCCTCAAGTCATTGGTGTCAGGAACCAGGTGCTCCATGTTGTCGAGGACCAAGGCCTCAGAGATTTCCTTTGGCAACTTCTTGGGCTGGCGGGTGCTGGTTCTGCGGGTAACCGCTGGCTCCTTCTGGATCTTCTTCTGGGTCTTCTTCTGGATCTCCTCCTTGTGGTCCTTCTTGGGGGAGGCCGTTTTTTTGTCTGCAGGTACTCGCAAAACACCCTTGCTCAGCCACTTTTCATGCCATCGGTCACATGCCCTGCGGTGAACCGCTTTTTTCTCCTCCGGCGTTTGTTTCTTGCGAGGCTGACGTTTGGGAGCGGGATGGACAACAGGACCCCCGGCACGAACACACTCACCATTCTCAGTCTTGCCATTGTCACCCTCGTCCTTGGCAACCTGGCTGGTGCCCCCCTCACTGTTGGTCTCCTTGTCACCGTTGGTCTCGTTGTCACCGTTGGTCTCCTTGTCGCCGTTGGTCTCCTTGTCACCATTGGTCTCCTTGTCACCGTTGGTCTCCTCATCCTTGGCAACCTGGCTGTTGCCACCCTCACCGTTGGTCTCCTCCTTCTTGTCAGCGTGATCGTCACTGTCCATCTTCTCCATGTCCTCATCTTCAATCGTCTGTGCTCCTGCCTCCATGTCCACATCATCATCATCGAAGAGCTTGCGGGGGTGGGGATCACCAGGAGTATGGCAATCTCCAGTCATGGTGCTGGTCTGCTTCTTCTCCTGCTTTTTCTTCTCAAGGCTGTGAGCGAGGTCCGGGGCCAGGGAAGTCTCTTCGTTGGTCATCAAGTGGTTGATCATGGCTGTGGATGGTGTGGTCCTTTCAGACTGACTGTCGGGCAAGGTGGAAGCCAACTCTGGCTCAGGTACGTCAGGCTCCAAAAAGTCTCTATCCAACTCGAAGCCCCCTGGAAGCATCAAAGTCTCTTGAGAATCTGGAAGGTCTGTCTGACCAAAGTCTGGCGGGAGGTCAGGGAAAAGGGCGCGGCATGTCGCATTGGGGGCTGCCTTGCTTTTCGCAGCACGTGGGGCCACGGCATCAAACGAGGAGGAATGAAGGGCTTGTAGGCGTCGAAGTTCCTTCCTCCAGGAGTCAGGGAGAACTCAGTCAGAAGTCATATGATATGATATTGTGTGGGTATCGTATCAATATCGTATCTATATCCATCAAATACAGTATGCAGCTTCTTAGCGCATGTTGTTAATACATACATTATACTACCATAGCTTGTACATAGGTGGCATGATCAAACCGTGGGTAAATTGTCCACACTGAGGGGTAGTTTCCAACCCATGAATAGGGACCCCATGTATCAGGTTTTGACCACATATTTTTTGATTAAACATTCAAAAAGCACCACATTACATTATGGTTGTCACAAAGGTCATATGAGTCATATGATATAAAATAGAGATATTGTTTTTGTTGGATTTTGTTGGCATTACATAAACTGTTAGATGTGGAATAATATTGGATCAACTAAATTTAATCACATGATATAGCGATGTATAGTGAGTATTTAGTGCATTGCCGCTCATACTTACGTTAGTTCTTGGTTGTAAGGGTCATCGAGTCATCCCAATGTTATTAGTTGTTAATTATTGTTTGTTTGTGGGCCTGGTCCCAAACCCCTTTCACAAATCCCAGTCCTGCAGGGCGTCGTTGGTTCAACAGGTTGAGCCATCTTAGGCCTTCTACCCTCCACACTTGGGTTCCACGCATTTTCATCTAGTAGGTGAAAGGCCGGAGTGTTGGCCTCAATCATATGAAATTTCAGGCCTGACGAGGTATCAGGCGTAGGCTCACTGAAATCAACGTCTTGGGAATCCACATCAATCAGCTCATGCTGATCCATGGCCGATAAAGCCAAAGAAACCAAAAAGGGGCACAATGGCGGAATGTCAATGGCTGCAGGCTAAAGTCTAGTAAGTTGTGATAAAAAATAGATCTTTTTGTCAATGCCTCGATATACCTTCAACCTTTTGTTTCAACATCTTTGGCAACCTCCATCAGCTTGATAGACAGATGATTCTCATCCACTTTGGTCCCAGGAGTGCGGAGCATAAGGCGCTGGGCCATCGAGACTTCACTCAGGACTCCGCCTTGGGAGGGATGACTGCAGGTTTGGAGATTCCCGCAGGAAACATTCCCTAGCCACCATGGTCCACATAAGTGAACTTGAGGGGAGTGTCTATGACCCATTTGGCCACCAACCAAAGAAGCGTTAAGCAACAAAGTTTTGGTTCAAAGTTCAAACATTTATATTATCGAATAGAGTGCTGGGCACTTGGGTTACATGTTCAGCTGGTTCCAAGTGGGTCTGCAGACAATCCCCGGAACCCCATTTCTGTGCAAGCAGCTTGACATATATTATATAGCAAAGTTGAACTTCCCCCAAGCTACCAGATGTGATGGGTATTGATTTGACTTGTCACCTAAAAGTTGGTAAACAATATGCTGCTCACAACACCCGCTGGCATTGCCCTGATTCCAACACCAGCTTCTTCACGAGAAAAAGGATGGGCTTAGCGGCCCCAACTACCTTTTCGGCTTTGTACACACGCAACCTCCACACCTCAGGGAAAAATGGATGTCCAAACTGAAGTGTGAAATACCATTGGGCTATTTAGGATATTGAGGTTCCAGGCAAAGCAACCATGCTGTTGACACATTGAAACATGTTATGTTTCTGTTTTTCAAAACCCCTGTCCTTGCACATCGCTTCCGATGCCTCAATCTGGGAAGCAGAGAAATAGCTCCCAACGTTCTTGGCCTTGACGTTTCTGAGCTGAACATTGGCTGCTTTCCACAGCATTGTGGTGCCCTCCTTGACAGACAGCTCGAACCTTGGAAGGTAAAAACCACAACCCTTTGGTTGGAAAAACCAGGAAAGAAAATTGTGGTCAAAATATGTTGTTAACAATAAAGTTTTGGGGAAAAGAAGCTATCGTATAAAAATACTTATGTTGGTGAAGAACCGGTCATGCTCCTCAGATCCCTGGCAAACACTTGCTGGCCTGATGATACTGTGTCCAGCCAGCTCAAAGTCGACAATGCCGGATTGCTCGAGTTGAATCCAAGAATCCCGCAGTGTTGCAGGTGGTTGGTCATGTCCGTCAGCATCCTGAAGGCTACTAAACCACTATTGAAAAAGTTCTGATTCTATAGAAACAAAGGGTTTTCAGGCTTGAGCAGGATTGAACAAAATGAGCTCATTGTGTGATGTTCTTGGATTTTTGACATCAACCACTGCCTCCACAACCACTGTCTCCTGATCATCCCGAAGCTCAAAGTTGAAGCCTCGACCCGGGTTCTCCTGAAAAATCTTCCCAGTTTGAAGTGAAAAGGACTCTCCAGATGTGTCACCAAATATTAAAACACAGTTTAGGATGGGGGGTCATATATATATATATATATACATACATATGTTTGTAAATATATTAATTAAAATATATTGTCTGTATAAAAAAATATAACATATATTAAATATAGCGCAGTATAAATTGGAAATTCCAGACAACCCTGTCCTCAGCAAATGCGGTCGCCTTTGTATCAAGGAGCCAGGCTCCCGCTCCAAAAAAGAGTATCCCCTCTTGGTCGTCCAGCTCTGCGTGCGCAGTTCCAACTAAGAACAATTTGGGCCCTTCAACGATGATGCCTGTCACGTTGTTGTTCACGCTGAAACTGTGAGCACCAGGGCCATACTTCGCCTCCAAGTCCTGTTTGCTCTTTGGCTCCCCAGCATAGATATCGTCCCAAGAGGTCGTAGACGGGTCAGGTTGGTCTTCGACTGGTGCGGAGGTTGTAGCCGGTGTGGAAGGCACAGGTGTCTGTGGAGTTTCTGACGCATGGGGTCCCCATTTCCGGTCAAAGTCCTGCAAGGTTTTTCTCCATTCAGTGGCTCGAATCGGATCTGTGATCCATTGGTTCTTGATCTCCTGTGGGATCTGCAGGTGCCCATCAACTACCTTGCAAGCGGAGAAGGTAGGCTGTTCCACCTCAGGCACTTGTTCTGCTGGTCCTGGTTCAGGTTGGAATTTTGGAAGACGTTTCCCGATCTCCCCAGCACCTCTCTTCCACTCCTCCAACAAAAAGTTCATGATGGACTGCAAGGTGTAGTTGTAGCAAATCATCACATCAGTGACAGACATCACCGGAATCTCGAGCTTCAAGCAGGCACGCTCCAAGGTGCCGTCATAGGCCGTTGTGTGCACCACTGTAGCTTTGCTGGTGGCATCCCCTGGGTTGGTAACAAAATAATTCCTTCCCAAAAAGCAGCAACAACTAATCAAACAAATCTCAAACTTTGACCCTTCACCCAAAAATCAAAAAAATCTTCCACACTAATCATACACCAATCATCTCCACAAAGAGGTCAGCAAGGTGGTGAAAAAGGCTTCCCCCGAGACCCACTGCCCTGTTTCTTGCGCGTCCGTCAGGTTCCTCCTCGCGTCATTGCAGGTCAGGTGTGCACGTGCACTTGGGACATGAAACTCCGCCTCACCCATTGCCTTTGGTAAGGAGTCATGAGGGAACCCCTGTAGTCGCCACAATTCGCTTGCACTGTGTGCGCACACTTGGGCTGCTTTCACACCTTCGTCGTGCGCATTCCGGCGGTGGCCGGTGCCTTTCAAAGGCAATGCTGTTTCTGCTACGCATAACCATGCCCTATAGTAGGCAGGTCTGTCAGAATTTCGGTGTAAGCTTGTGAGGTCCATGCCCAGGTTCAAGTCTCGCAGTGCAAGGCCCAGTGAGGTCAGTTTGTCTTCGATCAACCTGCAAGGTGTTCGTTCTTGTAACCCTTGGTTTCAGCCTAATTCCTTCGAAGTATAGAATGGCTTAAGAAAAAACGTTTTGATCATCCCAAACCATGACAAACGATTTTGATGACCATAAATTTTATGATTCTATGATAGTTTTTTTGTGTGCATTATTTTTTGGACCCCAACCTGTGGTCTTTCCGCAAACTCGATCCTGGGCCACCAGCTGTTCCAAAAAGCAACGGAGCGATGATGACTGCACAGGAACCTTTGCTATCATATGCAAAGAGGAAGTAAAAACCAAGCTTTCTTTTTTTAACGCAGGTTGGGATAAGACAAAAAAAACGCTTTACAGAAAACCTTCAAATGCATTGAAATGCAGGTTAAAGTAGCCCAGGGGATTGCGGCTGACAATCTTGGCGGCAAGGGTGCAGTGCTTGTTCAGCGCTGCTGTGCTAATTGTCCCGACCTTGGTGAAATCCACCAGGACCATAGTCGAAAGAAGCCCATTGACCTTCAGGCAGGGATATGTGGGTGACGGAAATGTCAGGTGAGCCTCTAGCCCATATCATATCCTATCTAAACTAATACTTATCATGACATCGTAAAATAACCACCCCATGTTTTTGGTATAAGATTTCTGGGTTTTATTTCGAGGGAAGTAGATAGTAATGCTAAGATATTCATTTGTGCCCGCTCAAATCGTTTTTGTTGACGGCCCCACCTTCCGTTCCAAACTGGCTTGGCGGAACCATGATTCCAAGTTGGGGACATTCGAGATGTCAGGGATCAGACTCACGGCACACATCTGCTCCATGAACTTCTCGACGATCCTGGGATTCAGAATTGGGGGCGAGCCCAGAACGGGATGAAGCTAACTCTTCAACGTCTAAAGGTTCAGTTTTATTGGGGGAATCAGGGTTTTGGACCTGGGATTTTGAATAGAGAAACAACCTGAGAAATGTTGAAGTAAAAATGTCAAAATATTGCACCAATAATTGCAAGATTCCCATTGCCAATGGTGTTTTGGGCCTTCTTGTGGGTGACCGCCACAATGTGCTCTCGGGCGCTCTTCTTGTGCTGCTGGGCTTTGAAGCGAACCCATGCCACTTCGTCCATCCTAAAAACAAAGTGAAAATGGTTTGATACCGGAGAAAAAGGACCCACTGTAAGAAAAACATATTTCAGAAATGAAACCATATACCAAATCGATGGAAAGAAGCGCTATTTTGCTCATCAACTCTTGGAATTGGGCTTGGCAAGTAGCTTCCTGGAATGTCTCAACTTCCTCTTGGGCTGATGTCGGCCACAGCAAGGGCTTGGGGTTCCACCAACTCTGACCACAGACTCAAGTGCTTCACGCTCCAATTGGGGAGAGCACTGTCCAAGCAGCTCATGATCTCGACGAAATAGTCCCTGCCCAAGGTGCTGACAAAAAACATCCTGACATTTATCTGACGCTCTTTTTTTCCCCACCTGCCAGGTAAGGGTTGTTAGATTTTATCAGAGTTGTTCTTCTCCTCCTCCTCCTTCTTCTCCTTCTCCTCCTCCTTCTCCTCCACCACCTCTGCCTTCACTTCCATGTCCACTTCCGCCTTGCCAACTCTTCGCCAAGCTCTTTGCCAACTTCTGCACGCAGTGATGTACTGCTGGACCTCAACTGCAAGGGTCTGAGCGCAATGGGCACCACTGGACCTCAAGCTGGGACCTTCCGAGCTCAGTGAGCACCGCTGGACCTCAACCTGCGACCGTCCGAGCTCCTCAACCTGGGACCCTCCGAGCTCAGTGAGCACCGCTGGACCTCAACCTGGGACCCTCTCCGAGCTCAGTGAGCACCGCTGGACCTCAACGGCCAGATAGAATGCCAGAAGATATGCCGGATAGAACGCCAGATAGCATGTCAGAAAGAATGCCAGAAGATATGCCAGATAAAATGAACACAGTTTCCTTTGAAAGCGGTCCTCGCGGTGAAAGGGGTCCTGGGCGCACCGCGCGCGCGCGCCAAAAATCTCTCCAAATTGAAGCTCTTTTGGCGCGCGCGCGCGGCGCGCCCAGGACCCCATTCACCCCGAGGACCCCTTTCAAGGGAAATCTTGTTAATGCCAGAAGATATGCAATATAGAATGCCAGAAGATACACCAGATAGAATGCCAGAAGGTATGCCAGATTCAGATAGAATGCCAGAGGGTATGCAAGATAAGGTGCCAGAATGTTTGCTAGATAGAATGCCAGAAGATTTGCCAGATAGAATGCCAGATAGGACGTCACAAGATATGCCAGAAGATATGCCAGAACATATTGCAGAAGATATGCCAGGTAGAATGCCAGAAGATATGCCAGATAGAATGCCAGAAGATATGTCAGATAAAATGCCAGAAGATATGTCAGATAGAATGCCAGAAGATTTGCCAGTAACAAAACGTATGGATGTCATGGTGGGGATAACTCGAAATAAAGTAATTTCTGATTTTTTTTCTGACCAGTAAATGGGGTTCAACAAAAAATGAAAATGCAACCCCAGGCCTGGCCATGAAAGCATCTTGAATCTGATCCATGACAGAGGCCAAAGTCCCTGGGTCAACATGCTGGAGGGTCTGGGCAGCCTGCTTGCGCACACTGCATGATACAGGTGTAATCGACCAACTTGTCCCAGTCGGCCACTGATGGTCTCAGTTTTGGTCGTGCTGAAACCTTCGTCTTCTTGGTTTGGGTACAGAACCAAGAAATATGGTTCCGCAAGAAATGCTCTTGCACCTCCTTGTCCACGGTCAACATCACCTTGGCCGCATCTTTGGCATAGCGAGGCGATGCGCCCAGCAACCACCGCGTGGATCGCAGCAGCTCAGCCGTAAAGCAAGACAGCTGCCACTTGTGAAAGTTGAGGTGGTGCTGGATCAAGCACCTGGCACCTGGGGTTGTCCCAATGATCAGGTTCAAACAGGCTTTGAATCGATCTTCATCAACCCGCCAACGTTGGATCATGCCAGGTTGGCCATTGAACTCGTCTGTGACAAGCCTCAAGCGACTCTCGGTGTTGAGGGAAGCATCGTGTTCTCCATTTTGGCTCTTCTCCAGCAAAACTGCGCTAAATGTCAGCGCCAAAGACAAACAGGAAGGAGGCTGGCGTTCAGAACCTCTGTAGCTCAACTGCAAGTTGAGGTACGACCTGTGTGACGAATCCTTGTTGAAGACAACCTGGGCTTGTTGAACGAAATTGCACGTTCAAACACCATCTAAGAATGTAAAATGTGCAGTATCTACTATTAGCTTTTTTTTCATGATATTCTAAATAATGCCCGGAAACATTCGAAGGCAAGAGGAATGCTCTGTCCAAAAAAGCTTCGAATGGCTTCACCTTGTCATAATCTGTGTCAAGGTCGATTTCTGCAGCAACCATCACCACAAACGCAATGACAGATGCCCTTGCATATCCTTTGATCAAGTCCACAGAACAGTAATCAAGCTCAAACTTGGAACCTTGGAACAGGAGTTTGGTGTGCTTGAAAGGGAAAATACATGGGAATCACCCAAGAAACAAATCATAGAAATATCAATTGTTGAAAATAAAGTGTGTTGAATCTTGACAGGTGCACAGTTCGCAGGACTGTCTGGAAAGGCCACCTTGGGAAAACACAATGGGGATATTATACCGGGATAATATGGGATAATGGTATATAATAATTAATCTGCTGATAGCTTTTGGATCCAATATGAACTGAAATGGAAATTAGATCTTGGTTGCTGGGACCCAGACATTGCAGGACAGAGGTTCCCTACCAAGGTCAATGGACCCGGTCACCATGCTCTCAAAACACGTGAGCCAGTCTCGAATGACAGGCAATCCATCGGTCGGCACCTGGAACCTGGAGCAGGCAGCCGGTAAACCTGTTTTTAGGCAGGCTTATAGTTTGTGGGGAAAATGACACGCTAACCATTGCAGAAAATCATTGATTGCTTGTCATTGTTTTCTTCTGAATCTGGGCAAGGATTTTGAAGTAAAAACATGTCATGGGGAGCATATATCCCAACTTTCAAAAAATATTTCTAAGGATGTGAAGGGCTGCACAAGAGGTCAAACCCAGATCATTTTGGATCAGCAGTTAGCCCAATTTGGGGATCTTGATGGGTTATAGCCCCAGTCGTAAGCGAAACCGATTTTATAAGGACAACATAATGGTGTGGGTTCAAAGGAATATAATGCCTTTCCAGTCAGGCAAAGGTTGGATGATGGACAATGGCTTCTCAATATTAGTCAAATGATTGTTGCTATGGTATTGTCTCTTGCTAATTTGGTAGCGCCAAAATTACATCCCCGTGCCTAAATTCCACAAAAACTGGTGGATAGATGAAAAAACCAACATTTTCAAGGAGATGCAAATATTTCACAATGGTTTGATATTTGCAACAAATTGGTATTACCCATCACTCTCCTCCTTCTCCCTTCAGCCCGTAGCTTTGCAGGCCACGCACACACTGTGGCACACACGAAGCCCACAAGCTGGGAAACCAAGGAACCGGAAAGCGCTCAGGGGCATCTTCAAGGTATCGTTTTCCATACTGCGGTCAATCACCTGGGGAATTCGTAGTTAATTGTTGTATTGTAAAGTATAAAGATTATTTTTTGGTAGCATTTTATCATCGAAACATATTGAAACCCAAACAACTGAGCCCATGGCTATGTCAGTAGTCGACTTGAAGATCACGGTCTGGTATCCCCGTTTGTTCTGATATTCACGATACCACATCTCCAACTGTTTCATGCGGAGTTTGTTGTTTTCATCATTCTTCGACCCCAAGAAGAAAGCCACTGGATCCGCCGGGTGAGAGCCAGCTCTTGTCCCAGCTAGAGCTGCAGGGTCCTCCTCAAACTTCCCAATGTGATCCAACATCTCCTTAGGATTGGAATTGGACCCAACTATTTATTGATTATTGTATGTCTAAAACCCACGGCGTGAGCTGTAAATATACGGGATGCAGAATAGTAGGCCCCCCTGCTGGATTTATTGGGAAAGGGTCTGAACATAGGTTCCCCCTAGAAATGATGGCTGCTACAACTTGTAAGAACAATGATACAGTCCGTTTGGATTTGATTTCTACAGGGTCTACAAAACTTAAACATGTTCACTTCTCAGTTGTCGATGATATATATAGTAATGGTTGTGGGAATCTAGCCGTCACAAGTGTGGAATCCTATGCCATCCACTACCATTCAAAGCCACAGAGTCCCTCATGACTGAGGTGTCCCCACTCAACTTCTTCAAGAACTTCTCGCTGGAGGAGCACAGCTTTTTGGCTGCGCTAGGGGAAGTCTTGGTTTCATCTTCTTTAACCACAAGTGGCTTGTCACTCTTTTCTGGGGTCTCAAAACACATGGACCGGGCATGTTCGAGAAACGAATTGCCACCTCTTTCGGGACTCGGACCCATCATAGCGTTTGGGAATTGGAGCTGCTGGCCCACAACAGCTGCAAGAGTCAAGAGAAAAATTCGGTAAACTGATCAACCCTAAAAAGTGCATTGACTTTTATGTTGGCCCTCAACATAATTTTCAATGCACTCCCCCCCGTCCGTTGCATTGAAAACCTTGGTTTTTTGATGAAGAGATTTATTTTTTTTGGTGAGCCCTAAATTGAAATAGATCCCTTCCTCCGTAAAGCAAGGTTTTCAATGCACTCCCCCCCGTCCGGTGCATTGACTTTTATGTTGGGGGTCTGTTCCAAGATCAATGCAATTTTTAGGTCCGTGACAGACATTCCAAGATCTCAATTTTCAATGCACTCCCCCCCGTATGTTGCATCGATTTTTCAATTTTCAATGCACTCCCCCCCGTATGTTGCATCGATTTTTTTTTGCAACCATCCCCTGGTGCATCGATTTTTTTTGCAACCATCCCCTGGTGCATCGATTTTAAAATCCAAACATCCCCCGGTGCATCGATTTTAAAATCCAAACATCCCCAAGTGCATCGATTTTGGGCTATAATCATCCCCAGGTGCATCGATTTTTGGGCTATAATCATCCCCAGGTGCATCGATTTTGGGCTATAATCATCCCCAGGTGCATCGATTTTGGGCTATCATCATCCCCAGGTGCATCGATTTTGGGCTAAAATCATCCCCGGTGCATCGATTTTGGGCTATAATCATCCCCAGGTGCATCGATTTTGGGCTAAAATCATCCCCGGTGCATCGATCTTGGGCTATAATCATCCCCAGGTGCATCGATTTTGGGCTATAAT